GCTGACCTGCCTAATCGCTTGCCAGCGATATTCGATGCAATTCTAGGACATAACATACAATTGTTTCGTAAAACTCCTGGCGGTAATGGTATCTTAAGACAGTTAGCTGGTCGCCTATAGGATAGCCCTGCCAATGACAACGTTCCAAGGCGAGGTATTCCATGAATGTCTTCCACCTTGCTCTGTTTCAGTTCTGGAAGACTGGTTAATTTCAGTCCCACTGCATTTGGCAATCCCCTTCGCTGAATCCTGACAGAGACAATTCCGGCGTCTCAAGATTTACTGAAAAGTAACTGGGAATGCTTGGCTTACAACGGCAATAATAGACGAACTAGCCCGAAAAGCCGACCTCAATGAATCACTTGCGGTTTATTAGATGAATTGGGCAAATAAATTAGGAACTTAGAGCGTGAAATAGCTTAATATCTATTTTATGAGTGATATATCACAGGACAAACAATGCGTGAAAAAACAAAATCTACGCTTGGCAAAAATTCCCAACTACTTTATGTTCTAAATCTAATAAATATTGGGACCTATTGCACAAGCGATCGGAATAAGCGACTTATTTCTTTGTACTACTAAGTCTAGATAAGACACAGTACATTAGCGTTTTTAATTGGCAGAGGAATGCTTAAGTTTTCTTCAGTCAAGGTCACTATTCTCAAAAAGACTCTGTAACACACTTTTTTAAAACCAGGCACCAATAGTAGAGAAATAAATGAGGGCAGACATTTGTTTAAATCGATTACTCATCAGGCCTCTACAACAGTGAAATAGCACGCGGAGCATTTGCCAGTAAAATAACTGGTGACGGGGTAGGGTGGGGAAAGGTGGGATTGTTGGCTCACGTCGACAATGGAATGCGGGAAGCAAAGAAAGGCAGAACACGGTGGATGTGAGAAAATAGGGTGAGGCAAGCGTCACACAAGCCCTCACAGTTGTAAACAAATTGCCAAACACGCATGCCTTGCGCCTGCCAGGAGCCATCTATGATGTGTCTTTTTGGGAGACTGACTTACGCAATTATGAGCAATTTTCTGCGCTAATGAAACTCCTTTATGTCAATAAGACACTATTTTTTTTATCTCGGAATACAACCATTCCATTTTACTCTTCATACACATACGTATCGATGTCTCAATTACGACGCAGTAAGGAGTAGCATCTCCATGAAAGCATGCGGGGTATTCCTCTCAGACTGGTGCTGACAATATTGTAGGTATTATTTCCGAATGAATGAAAGGTTCGCGTTCCAGGGATACCTGCAGGGATAAGGAGGAAGACGTGTCGAGCACCGGATCAATTGATTTATTATCCTGAGCTTTCGAACTCTTACAGGAGTCCATCTTCAGAGATGTCTGCTCACCCTGAGAGCTTCATAGTGATAGTCAATTGGACTTCATGCACTCTGGGCGCATAGTCGGTTTAAAAGGAAATAAGTTATCGTTGTTTTTGTATTTCAACGTATTTAATTCATGTTTCGTCTTCTGAATTTATTTTCCCATGGAAACGCAGATTTTGTGTTTTCCAGGTGCAAAACACAGAGCCAGCAACGTAATGTTTTCGTCATCTACATGAAAATGATAGTGCCGTAGATTTTATCGTGAAGCAACTGTGCTTATACCTTATCATCTGGCGATCATTCAGTTTGCGCGAGATTTTCAAGGCATTTAACAAGACTTTTCAGTAGTTCATAGGCTTTTAGACACCACCCACATAAAAGAACACGGCTGTTCACCCAATGGACACTTGCAATGTATACAATACCTATTGTTATGTGTAGAAATGTCACTCAAACTCGCATTTGCTTCAGCTACAGTCACCGTATTCGCCCATAACCACGCCTACACATGAGCCCATGGATTTTTCAATGAAAACACAATACAGTAAGAAACATGAAGATATATTTTGTAAGATTGCATTACTGGAAATTAAGTTCGGGGTTTTCTGTGACAATAAATCTGTCACTGATTTACGCCGCCTTATCGTTTGCTTTTAAACTTATTTTATTATTGATGTAACACTACCAATAACAAGGACCTTTTCTTTTTGCACTTACTATACATAATTGGACGTAATTTCTCCGTTTTGAAACGGTGCGTTTTCAAAAACATGGCTAAGAATTTCCATGGACATATTTTTTAGTAATTCAGAAGTTTCATGTAATATTATAGTAAGTCAGTAATATGGTCAACTTATGTACAGGAAACTCTGAGTGTTATCCAAGTTCGAAATGGACATTCTTTTGGCGATATAACTTGTTTTTTACTCATTGAAACGGTGTAGTTGTTTACTTTGAGAAGGATGCTAGGTGGTTAAGCATTCGACAAGAGATCCTGTTAAGATTTGTCAAAGTGCGTTTGCACCTAATCATAAAAATAATCTTTGGATGGAGGAGTGTATGGGGGGAGGGAGGTAAGGGCAGGGAATTTGTCGACAGCACTTTCGGCAAGGCGGTGGACATGGATAGGAGAGATATTATGTGAGAAGCAGAGACAGTAGGCTTGTGGGGCTTTCAGGTTCGAGCTTCCAGTGTGCGGTGAGCAGAACTGAAAAACACCATGATCATGAGACTTTGGATTGTGTTCCTTCGCATGCAGATCGCAGCACATTTAGTAGATCTAGGTCTAGGCGAAAATGTGAGGAGGGCGTGGTGGAGGATACAGCGTCTGGTGAATGCGTCATGGTACTATTGCCCACTTCATGTTTACAGGTCAGCGTGGGCGTTCGATTTTGAGAGGTTGAACGAAGGCATGGGATTGAAATGGTACAAAAGCCTTGCTGTGGTTGTAGCAAATCGGCGGAGAACGTCACACGACAAGTTTGTTGGTCTGCATGGCGTACTCTCGACAAGTCTGGCAGCATTGGAATTGAACCAGAGTGAAACCACACAAATGGGTATTTTCTTTACAAGTTGGCGATAGGTCCACGCAACCTGCAATTGCAGTAAAGTGGTTTAAGAATCAGAATTAAGGGTATGTTTCCAACACAAGTAGGCGTATTAAAACTCTACAGGCAATTGCCATATTAAGCAAGCATTTTAGCGCGTGCAAGAACTTCGATGATATCTCGAACCTAAACCCAATTTTTGTTGGTGGACTTTTTAGGGATATTAGCCAAATACGCCACTGGCAGCCATGAAATAGATCCTTGAGGAAAAAATGCCATTTCATAAACACAGATACATTTCAGTTGAACCATTTGTGAAAAATTCGCGGCCTCGGTGGGAGTCGAACCCACACAGCAGGAAGACATTTTCGCGCAACCAACGCTCTAATATTGAGCTACGAGGCTCACCGTGCACCGTGAATTTAATCACACTTGGATCGATTTTACCCGCCCTACTTGCTGTTTGTGTGGAATCTACCATTACCGAACAGCAAGCTGACTGCCCAGGCAGGATTTCCTAAGCAATTATCTAGAATCCACCAGAATTACTACTGGGCTCACTTAATTTTTAGGGGTGTGTGGTTTTCGAAGGAAAGTTGCCGATTTCTGTTTGCATTTACAAACAGGATATTAAACACAGAATTCTGAAGTACTGTCTAGTTATCTACGGCAGTGGAACCATGTTAGCCTACGTCACTTACACATTAAGTAAAACTAAACTAAAATTAAACGTTAAACAGGCTAATTAGAACATGAATTGGGACTGAGAAGTTTCCGTCGCATCTGTGGCCCTATATAGTATATCGACATGCGGAAAAGTGGTATTCTACACGTAAGCAATTTGAGCAGTCAGGCCAACAGTCAAATGGAAGCGTAGTAAAGTAAGTGTTATAGATGCGGAGAACAATGCACCAAAATTCTGTACGCAAAAGGACCAGTTTAGGGGAGCTTACTCAGCTTGCACGGCTTTGTTGTGCATGTTCTTATAGATTCCGGGACCGGTAGATTCTCTTCATAGCAGAGTGCTCCTGCAGGCTCCCCGGAATGGACCCAAACGCATCTGTGTTCACGGTATTGGTAGCCCGTCCCACCGCAGGGTTTAGAGCACTAAAGTAAATTTGAAATGCAATAGTCACGCGTGGAACATACGAGGTTAATTTATCGGTAGTACGTTTGTTGTAAAGCACTTTACATGTATGCATATGAAGCAAAACAATCTGTCGTGTTTACGTAAGTATGCTTATCGACAAAAACAGATATCTCGTTTTAAGACTATAGGTAATTTGCTAGTCAAATAGATTTATTCAATTTTTACGATCGGTCGAAGTAAAATTCACACAAGAGCAAATCTGAATTTAAGGTCATTCTGGGATGGGAAATTGTATTTTGAAATTTAATCAGGGCAAAATCCAATGTTCCTAAGAGACCAAGCATTCATTCATCCTTTTGAAAGTTCTGCCCTTACTACTGGGAACACTTACAGAATACGTATTAAGTAAAATAGGACCGTTGAGCTGTTGTGTTCCTAATCGTATCGGAAAACGGAACAAAGTTGGCTGCATGCCAAAGATAATAAACTACGTGAGCAACTTATTCTTCTAAAAAACAAAACTTTTCCACCGCTAGACATAAGGGTCGAACATAAAAATGGAAGCAAATATTACTAGATACTTCCAACAATGCATGTTTGCTTGTTCGCTTTGGGTTGGAAGGGAATATAATTAATTTTTTTGTATCTTGTTTCGTCCCCAATTTCGGAATAACAATCCGGTTTTGCATCTTCCACAAATTAGGAAGGTGGTCAAAATTAAGGTCTAAGGGACGGTTTGCATAATATCCGCGCTATTCAGGCATTTTGTAAGTTGGTCCTAATTTGTCGTATTGTGGTATGTCAGCGACCGTGTTAAGATAGACGAGCCTAAGACACTAGGGGTCTTGTTAAGTATGAGAAGCTTGCGAATCTCAGAATAATATGCAAATATCTCTAAAAAATAGGTTGGAAATAAATGTATGCACAGACTGGGCAATTTGCGAAATTACGCTGGGGCTAGGTTTATAATTCTGTGAGATTTTCGATTTCTTCGATATCGACTATTAACGCTCAAACATGCAAGGTAACTTGCATTTCCTTACATGAAACTATAAAGGAAGGTATCGTGAACTTTTCCTAAAGGCCTATTAGGAATACTAAAGACTAAGATTTATGTCGCTGCATTTCTATCCGGGACAGCAGTGGCTTCACCCTGAAAAGTGTGCCATTGAGCCCTTATATCAGCCGAACTACCTTGCCTGGATAATGCGATCGCACCTTGGTTGACACACACATAAACGGGCGGCATACAAAGCAACAAGCAAACGAAATCCTCACGTCGCTTAACGTGAATTCGACCGCTGCTGTTGTATTTTGAAGGAATGCAGAATTTTTTGAACCCTGTGCTCGGCAGTGCATAGGGTGTCATGTGTTCCGTCCTTACCGCTCGCTGTTTAAAACACATAAATAGTATCGAGGTACCGACCACAATATCCTACCACAGCACAGACACAAACATGATTCCACCGTTTCGTCAACCCCAGAAACTAGTGTAACGAGCGTTAGACAATCGGCTCGACGTTGAAGGAAAACCGACTGCGAACTGTAGTTTCTGTCGTCCATCAGAGGGCTTCTTCAGCCTTGAGCGCTTCATGCGTACCAAGCCTCCACGAAAACAATAGAAATAACCTTTTTTTCCAGATAGTGTCAGTAACCGTTTCATTGGCGAAAATGGTATAACTACATTATTTTCTTCCGATTTCGCTTTTCGCTGTTGATTTTACTCCACTGCAGTTGTACACTACTCTGATTGCAGTTGCACGATAGTTGTGGCCCCGAGCCACATTAACTACAATCTCGTGGTCAAATATATTATTAATATACAGGTACAAGGTAATTGTTCTCATGCTATAGAAGCCATAGGCATGCAATCAGCTGCTATACACAAACAAAAGTTGCTATCGGTAAGGTGGACAATCACTGGACCAAGAGCTTTAGTTGCCTGATGTATCGTATTCACAATCAAAGCTATCGTCAAACATGGAATTTAGTGCAGCTTTAGGCAATACAACTATGCCCCAGAAAGTAGATTCCTGTTGACGCGGATAGCCGAACAGCTGGCAGCAGCGAGTAGTAACAAACCTAGCTACCAGGTCAGGGGTCGTTCTCCAGCCCTTGGCTGCACCTTCAAGTGAAATGAGGCTTAAGTTCTCGCGAGATGTAACAACTGAGTGGACCGCAAAAACTTTGTGTCATGGATTGCCGGTCCTGAGACGAATAAAATGTGCGATCACATTCGGATTCCACCCTCCGTACTGACATTTTGCCGGGCAGAGTGCTTGGTTTTGCGGGCGCATAACCTTCCGACACCGATTTCAGTGAATATAATGACCAAAGACTGATGACAGTTCGACTCTTAGCTGTTCGGGTGCAGGTAATCAATTAATAATTGCATCGCCTCTATTGAATGCGGGAATTGCTAAATTTGATATTCAGACAGTACCATAACAACTAAATCACAGAGACAGGGCAACAATTGTGTCAGAAAGCATCCCTTACTGACTGATGGAGTGTGAGCTCTGGCTCCAGCGTTTGTGCATTCATTATCCGACTGCATTCTGGGACTGACCTATTCGCTTCTAGCGGTAATCAGTATTCATCGCTACAACATTCAATGCGCTATCAGAACAAGACTTCTCAGGGCATAACGAAATTCAATCAAGCCAGTTTACCTAAAATGGCTTTCTGGTTTTTTTCACCAATTACTTTTTATTTCGAAGCCAGCCTATGGGAATTGTTTCAGCAACGCACGGAAATGCAGTTGTTCAAAAGTTCAGACTATCAGACTTTTTATGCATTTTAAATTTGACCAAATTGATGCTGCGAGGGAGTATATTATTTTGAATGTCAACTCACAGCAGACCAGTCGTCAACCTCCCATCTGACTTGGCAAATCGGGTTCGCGCAGGAAATGTTGGGTTTACTCATGGAACTACAGTGGTAGTCCGGGAGCTCTCTGTCGCCGAGAGTGCATATCATTCTTCCTTTCCAGGTTCCTTTACCAATACCCTCACATCGATTTGTACACTAAAAGAAAACGAAGGCAGAATTAACCCCTAGTTTACGATGGACGAATGATCCTTAATACGTACGCATTGCACTGCAGCTTCCCCAGAAAAATTGTAAAATATTTAAAGAAGCTCTTGTACTGCAGTCAGCCGTCAGGACTTTTCTCAGAAGGAATATGTTACCGTGTAA